TGTGCTTTCAGATGGTTTTACTCAGGTTTGTTGTGCTTGGAGCTCATTGAGTTTCTTAGGGGGACTGAGTTGATAGTTGTCATCAAATTTGGGAACAATTTTAGCTATTATTTCTTCAAATGCTTTTTTGTGTCTTCTCCCTTTCTCCTCTCCCTCCGGGATTCCAATTACCCGCATATCAGGCAACTTGGAATTGCCTTACCGCTCACTAATGTGCTTGTCATTTTTCATTGCCTTCTCCCTGGTTCCTTTTAGATTGTTTCTATTGCTATGATTTCAAGTCCCCTAATCTTTTCTTCCCCCAACGTCCAAACTTCTGCTAATACCATCCAGTGTGTTTTTCATCTCACAAATCGTTGTTTCATCTCAGAAAGTTTAACTTGAGCCATTTATTTCCTCCGTCTCTGTACTTAACTTCTGGAACATATGGAGCACAGTTATAATAGCTGCTTTAATATCTTTGTCTAACTCTAACATCTGTGTCAGTTTGGGGTTGGTTTCCACTGATGGATTTCTTTCTCCATTGCGGGCTGTACGTTTCTGCTTCTTTGAATGCTTGGTAAATTTTGCTTAAATATCAGTCATCAATTTTACCTTGTTTGGGTGTTGGATATTGTTGAATTCCTTAAATATTCTTTCCTTTATGTGTATTGATTTTGGAGAGAGATGGGAAGGGAGAGCGAGGGGGGGAGAGAGAGATCTGTTGTTCCACTTATTGGTGCAGGCATTGGTTGCTTCAGGTAGGTGTCCTGACCTGGGATCAAACCTGCAACCTTGCTGTCACCAACTGAGCCACCTGGCCAGGGATATTCCTTAAATATTCTTGAGCTTTGTCCTTGGATGCCGTTAAGGTCCTCGGATATGGTGTGATCCCTTTGGGTCTTTCTTTAAAAGCAGTGGTTCTCAACCTTTTGGCCCTTTAAATACAGTCCCTCATGTTGTGACCCAACCATAAGATTATTTTTGTTGCTACTTCATAACTGTCATGTTGCTACTGTTATGAATCATCATGTAAATATCTGATATGCAGGATGGTCTTAGGCGACCCCTGTGAAAGGGTCGTTCGACCGCCGAAGGGGTCGCGACCCACAGGTTGAGAACCGCTGCTTTAAAAGGGTTGCTAAGTAGACCAGGGCAGTGGTCAGTCTAGAATTAATTCTTTCCCACGACCGAGGCAAAGCCCTCTGTGTACCCTACCCGATGCCTCGTGAATCTCTGAGTATTCTGGTGTGGCTGCTTGGAGCGGGCTCTGTTCCCAGCCCCTCTGCCCTCTGGGTGGTCTCTCCGAGAGTCAGGCAGTTTCTCCTCCGAGCACACGGATCGCTGCTGAGCTGAACACTCCGGAGGGAGACCGTGCTGACCTCTGGGGCTCTGTCTGAGCACGGCTCTCCCCTCTCAGGCCCCCTGACCTGAAGACACGAGGCGCCTTGTCCTCCTGGAACTCTCCCTCCAGGACCCCACCAAGCTCCACCTCAGAAGCTGTCAAGGCAGCGAGCTGGGGCGATAGCACAGCTCACCTCGTTTACTTCCATCGCTTAGCGGTCGCCGACCTTGTGTCCTGACTCTCCGTGTCTTGAAAACCATGCTTCATAGATTTGTCCATTCTTTGGTTGACTCAGGAGGCAGGACATAGCCAAGCCCTGCCATTCTGCGTTGGTTAGCAACAGAAGTCTCTAGCTGTCCAGGTGCCGTGTACCTATTCATCTATTCAGCTTTAAATACACATAATCACTGAGGTATTTGGGTTTAACAAGTCCTTTACACGATCCCACTTGATCTATATTCCTTTTTCTCGCTTTTACGATCTCCTTTCAATGAATTGTTTTTTTATTATTCCAATTTTTTTTTTGTACTCTATGAGCTTGGAAGTTATGCAGTCTTTTATTATTCTTTTAGTCGTTACCCTAGAGATTATAACGTGCTTCCTGAGTTCATAAAAATCTCACATTAAATGATGCTTTCATGAACAGTGCAAAAACCGTGGCGCATTTTAACTCTGCCCACGCGCAGATTACAGGCCCACGTGGCCATGCATTTCCAACCTGCCCATGTTTTTAACCCACCAGGGCATTATTGTTGTTCTACACTTTCACCGTTACCCTCTATTTGCCTGTAGATTTCCTGTGTTATTGTTCTGGACACTTCCCTTGCCCTGCTCACCTCCCTCCCCCTGCTCACCTCCCTCCTGAGTTCATCCTTTTGCCTGAAAAACCTTTCAGTATTTCCTCTAGTGTGGCTCTTCTCAAGCCAGACTCTCCCTGCTTCTGTCTGTCGGGAAACATCTTTGTTTTACCTTCAGTCTTGAAGGCTATTTTCTTTGCATAGGAAACCCGGGTTCGGCAGCTATTTTTCTTGTAGGAGTTGAAAGATACCATTCGAATGCCTCTGACTCCCCTATTCCTGTTGAAAACCAGCTGGAAGACTAAGGGAAAGAGGTGGGCCCCTGCCCCTTGCTTTGGTGGGGGCAGTGGCTGGTGGAAGGGTAACCCAGAATCTGTCTTCCAGCCTGTTAGGTTGGGGAAGGAAAATTCACCTTAGTCATCCTGCTCCCTAGGCCCAGTGAGGGCGACCGTGGAGTTCTGGCGCCCTCTGGTGCCTGGAGGGAGACTTACTCCCATGTCTAAGAACTTCGGTAATATGACAAACACAAGGCCTGTCCCCCAATAATCCTACAAAAAGACAAGACCAAATGGGTGGGAAAACAAAACAGTAACAAGACCACGGGCACCCAGATACGGAAATGACCGTAAACTGTCACCCATGGGTCTCAAAGGAAATATGTTTAAGGAGAGAAAAGACAAGACTGAGGATGTGGGCCGAGCTCCGAAAACTGTAGAAGAAGTCGGATTGGACCCTAGGCCTTTCCAGACCAGCGCAGACTCTCAGTCTCGCTCAGCCCAGAGCCTCTGGCCATGCGTCTACTGCAGCACCCACAACGATGGCTGGGCCCAGGGGGCTCCACCTGACTCCTACCCCAGGTCTTCCCAGTTACCACCCCAGGACTCACCCCGCACTCACATATGTGCAGCACAGGTGGGGTGATCAACTTTCCCCCAGGGAGCCATTGATAAAGGGGTGGGGCTCTGACTGGTGGGTAAAGGCTTCCCCTCCTCCTGGGAGCGGATGCTGCTGAGACCCAGCCATGTCACAGCCTCTGGGAAGACGCTGCTGAGAGAGGGCGGCCATCACACCCGCCACCAGCCCCATCCCTGCCGGGCCTGGGCGCTCCAGCCCCTTCCCTCCTGATCGCTGATCCACCTCCATGAGCCAGGGCCGCCCCCTCTCTCCCCAGCTTTGCAGGTTTCCTGCGGCTGCCATAGCCAAGGACCACGACCGGGCGGCTGAAACCGCAGAAATTCACTCTCGCAGCTCTGAGGTCAGGAGTCAGGAACCGAGGTGTCAGCCAGGCTGGGCTTCCTCCAGAGCCTTCGGGGGAGCGTCTCTCCAGCTTCTTCCAACTTCTGTAGCCCCAGGCGTTCCTGGGCCGCCATGCCATCTCTGCTCCCTCTTCACGTGGAGTTGTCTCCTGCATCTTCCCACTGTGCTTGCCAGACTCTGTGTCCAAGTTTCCCCTTTTGATTTTTTTTTAAATATATTTTATTGATTTTTTACAGAGAGGAAGGGAGAGGGATAGAGAGTTAGAAACATCGATAAGAGAGAAACATCGATCAGCTGCCTCCTGCACACCCCCTACTGGGGATGTGCCCACAACCAAGGTACATGCCCTTGACCGGAATCGAACCTAGGACCCTTCAGTCCGCAGGCCAACGCTCTATCCACTGAGCCAAACCGGTTAGGGCCAAGTTTCCCCTTTTTATAAGGACACCAGTCATATTGGATTAGAAGATGTAACATATATATATACACACACACTAGGGAAGAAGACAATTTTGCTATTTGTGACAACATGGATGGACCTAGAGGGTATTGTGCTAAGTGTGATAACTCAGACAAAGAAAGACTAATACCTTATAATTTCACTTACATGTGGAATCTAAAAAAAGAAACACATAGAAACAGAGTTGGATGGTGGTTAGCAGGGACTGGGGGGGGGGGGGGGAGCGTGTTAGTCAAAGGGACACACACTTCCAGTTATAAGATGAGTACATTCTGAGGAATAATGCACAGCATGGTGACTATACTTAATAATTCTGTATTGTGTGCTTGAAAGTTGCTAAGATGGTAGATCTTAAATGTTCTCACCACAGAGGGGAAACGGTAATTGTGTGAGGTGAAGGAAGTGTTAACTAACCCTATTTTGCTAATATTTCTATATATTATACACACACACACACACACACACACACATATATATATAATCATCACACTGTACACCTTAAACTTACACAATGCTCTATGCCAATTATATCTCAATAAAGCAGAGGGGAGAAGAGATGCAAAGAGGAATAGAGAAGTAGAAAGGTCCACGATATATACACATATGTAAAGAAAACACATATGTAAAGAGGCAAAACCATAATTGAACAGTACTTTAGTGGGACAGAATAATAATTGAAGACATAGTGCCCCGGAATTTACCCAAACAGATGAAAGGGATCAAGCACAGATTTAAGAGAATTGTTAAACCCAAGCAAGAAAAGAGGAAGTACAGGCCTGGACACATCGAGGAACAGCTGCAGGACACTCAAGCAAAAGCGAAAGTGTCCACTATAACCAGACTGTGAAGGACGTCTCACTTTCAAGGAGGGCACCCTTCAGTCTCTCAGTACCTCCCCCTGCCCAGAATTAGCATCCCCCCTGGGGATGCAAGGCTCCCCCCCAAAATGCAAGGCTCACCCCCCTGGTTTACACTCCTGCCTGATTCTATTCTAGTCATTTTTCTCTGCCTCACTATGCCTCCGATACCTTCAAGTTGATTTTTTTAAATCCAGCTTTTCTTGCTGTCATCCAAAGAAGGGTTGTTCCAAATGACCTGGATTTCAAGATTACCAGAAGCAAGATCCAAATGTTAACGTTTAAAATGTCTAAATGAGTCTGCCCGACTGTTGCCGCCATCATGGACACGAGTCGTGTGCAGCCTATCAAGCTAGCCCGGGTCACCAAGGTGCTGGGCAGGACCGGCTCCCAGGGGCAGTGCACGCAGGTCCGCGTGGAGTTCATGGACGACACCAGCCGCTCCATCATCCGCAACGTGAAAGGCCCTGTGCGCGGGGGCGACGTGCTCACTCTGCTGGAGTCGGAGCGAGAGGCTCGGAGACTGCGCTGAACTGATGCCTGGGTCCTGGCTGTCTGGGTGAACCACATAGCCCATGGGGAAGATGCTCCACTGTTAATAAAGCGTTTATGTAAATTCGGGGGGAAAATAAAAAATAAAAAAAATTAAAAATGTCTAAATGATAGTATTCCCCCCCCCCCAAAAAAAGCTAAAGGCCCTGGCGGGCTTACAAATGAGTGCCTGTTAACATTCACATAGGGGTCATTTCTATGTCAGTCGAAGTATTCCGAGTCATAGGAAACGTTAGGAAGGTCCTCAGTTAAATTTGTGAAATCAATGTATCCGTGGCATCAAAGCTTTCTTAAGTTATTCTTTAAAAAGAAAGAAATGAACAATTTTTATTTCTTAAGATGGATGGACAAATAAGTAAAATCTTACAAAATTAAATTGAATTTGTATTAAACAAATACAACATGAATTTATTTTTATTCCAGGGAAACAATGATGTGCCCTTATTAGGTAAATAATAGATATAATGCATTAAAACAACAAATTGAAGGGTTACAAACTAAGTTGGAGTAGAAGGAAACTGCTATACTTAATAGACTATTTGCCGAAAGCCCACAGCAAACATCCGATTACACCGTGAAATTCTAAAGCCATTCCTATAAATATCAAGAATTCAGTATCTCCACTGTTATACAATAATGTCTTGGAGGTGGTAGCCACATTACAAAACATGCAAACTAAACCTCAAAATTCTGCTTTTGACATAAGCTTGCAGAACAAATTCTTTGAGGCATAACTGGCCTCACCAAAAACAGGGAGAGAAAGTAGCTATGAAGTGAAGCCTGAGCATCAGGCAACCAGGAGGGGCAGGAGGGTTCCGAGGACAGAGAGTGGCAGTGCCCTAGGGATGCGGGCAGACAGGAGCTCCACCTGGACATCCTACAATGATGGCGGACCTTCAAGGGAGGGGTAGGTGACCCCAACTTGGAGCCATCTCTTGCCTGCCTGTAAGAGATGAAGAAAATCCTCTCATGAGGAAATGGTCCCCAGTTCATGCCCCCAGACGATGATCAAGCCATAAGCTCAGAATCAAAGATCACCAAGCGTGGGGGGAGGCGAGTGGGTGAGTAGAAGAAAAACAAGCAGCACATCGGGACTCCCAGGATATTGGTGGTTATATCAGCAAATCCTATATAATAAAAGCTTAATATGCAAATCAACCAAACGGAGGAATGTCTGGTTGCTATGACGTGCACTGACCACCAGGGGGGCAGGCGCTCAATGCAGGAGCTTCCCCCAGCCCGCAGGCCCCAGGCCAGCCAAGGCAGGTGCCAGCGGGGGGGGCCCCCCGATCGCCCCACTGGTCACCCCATAGATCAGCCCTGATTGCTGGCCAGGCCTAGGGACCCTACCCGTGCACGAATTTCATGCACCGGGCCTCTGGTAGAAAAATACATGCAAAATGAATAAAGGAATTTGGGCACCATCACAACTAACCAAGGGATAATTGGGACAATATCCACAAAAGAACCAGGGAAATGACGACAAGCAATGATGTCTCCGTTATAGTGAGCACAGCAAGCGTCCAGATTTTGGTTTCTAAATACCATTTTCCTCCAAAGGGACTTCCTTTGAGAAATAACTGATTAGAGGTCTGGGTAAGGAATGACAAGGTGAGGCTGGGACAGCTGTGCTAAGATCAAGGAAATGCTCAAAAATTATTGTTATTGTCAAAAGATAGAAGCCAGCTGGCACTACACTGAATATGTTAGTAAATAAAAGTTCCTGTGTTTATATCAACATTCAGAAAAAGAGAGTAAAAGGAGAGGGAGTTTCTTACAAAAGAATGCTAACGGGTTCATCTACAGGAAAGAATGGGTTTAGAATATCACAATTTTGAAACCACCAATGAGAGCCCTAGCCAGTTTGGCTCAGTGGATAGAGCAGGGGTGGGCAAACTTTTTGACTCGAGGGCCACAATGGGTTCTTAAACTGGACCGGAGGGCCGGAACAAAAGCATGGATGGAGTGTTTGTGTGAACTAATATAAATTCAAAGTAAACCTCATTACATAAAAAGGTACGGCCTTTTTTTTTTTTTTAGTTTTATTCATTTCAAACGGGCCGGATCCGGCCCGCGGGCCGTAGTCTGCCCACGGCTGGGATAGAGTGTCGGCCTGTGGACCGAAGCGTCCCAGGTTCAATTACAGTCAAGGGCACGTACCTTGGTTGCAGGCTCCTCCCTGGCCTGAGCCCTGGTCAGGGCTCATGCAGGAGGCAACTAATCAATGTGTTTCTCTCACATCGATGTTTCTCTCTGTCTTTCCCTCTCTCTTAAAAAAAAACAACCACGAAACTACCAGTAAGATAGATGGTAGATATAGAAAGACAGATATCAAAAGACAGAGATAGATAGAGATAAAGGTAAAGATACAGGTATAGGTACAGATAGAAAAGGAGATTGTTAGTGAGGAATTGGATCACGTGACTCTGGAGGCTGAGAAGTGCCATAATCTGCCATCGGCAAACTGGACCCAGAAAAGCCGGTGCTGTCATTCAGCCCGAGTCCGAGAGGACCGCTGGAGCCAACAGTGTAACTGCTCCCGGTCCAAAGGCAGCAGGAGATGAGGTGAGATGTCTGACTCAAGCACTGAGGCAGGGAAAAGGGACAAATTCCTGCTTCTTCCACATTTCATTCTCTGCCCAGACCCTGAACGGAGCAGATGCTGCCCTCCTACACTTGGGAGGACCATCTACGCCACTCAAATGATAACCGTTCAAATGATAACCTGCTCTGGAAACACCTGGAAATGATGCTTCATCTGGGCTCCCCACGCCAGTCAAGTTGACACATAAATGAACCATCACAGGTCTACCCTTTGTCAGCTTGGCAGCTGTATGAATCTCTAAAAGTATACTTCGTCTCCAAATAAAGAAGACCATAATTCTGCCTAACAACCTCTCCAACCCCTGGCCCAGAAGAGGAGAAAAGAAAATAAAGACACACACGTATATGCACACACACACACACACACACACATGCACACACGCACATGTACACATGTATATTCATCCTATATAATAAAAGCCTAATATGCTAAGTGTCTGGTCAACCGGTCAGCCATTCAACCAATCAAAGTGTAATATGCTAATGATATGCTAAGACCGCTCAACTGCTTTCTATGATGTGCACTGACCACCAGGGGGCAGACAGTCAACCAGTTGGCCAGTCGCTATGACGTGCACTGACCACCAGGGGGCAGACGCTCTAACCGGTAGGTTAGCTGCTGCTGGGGTCCAGCTGATGCGGACTGAGTGAGACAGACCAGACACGCCCTGGAGCCCTCCCGCGGTTCCTACCCGGCTGGCCAGCCTCCTGCATCTCTCCCCAGCCCCAATCGTGCACCAGTGGGGTCCCTCGGCCTGGCCTGTGCCCTCTCACAATCCAGGACCCTTCGGGGGATGTCAGAGAGCCGGTTTCAGCCCGATACCACAGGCTAGGCCGAGGGACCTCACTGGTGCACGAATTCATGCACCGGGCCTCTAGTAGCAAAATAAAGACAAAATACTCTTGTCAATTATAGTCCTCATTTCTGTAACTGGTCACATGGTCACAGCTGGTCACTGTCCCCAGGTAGGCATCTCTCTCAGCATCCTGGCTGCCAACCACCTGGGCAGAGGGGGCATGTCAGCCACCGAGAAGTGGGCATCTTAGCCAGCACCTCACTGAGGGAGACCTCCTACACCCACAAGGGGTTCACATCCCTGACCGGGACCCCTTGCCTGCACCTGCTCTCTTTCTGCTCCCACATGAGCCCCGATCCCCCTGGGTGCTCTTCTCTGCCCATTCCCACCCCAGGATTTGCTCTCTCCTTCTGGTCACACTGAAGTGGCCCCTTCCTGACTTCCCTGGGGCCCTGTGATTCAGCTAGGCCTTCCTGCCCCCATGGGCAGGGTCTGCAAGTCAGGAATGGAGAATCCCAGCCCACGTCATCCTGGGGGTTAACTCCTAGGTCCAGAGGAACACTTTGGGCCTGGGTCCATGTGGGAGATGTGGCTGCAGATGAGGCAGTGATCGCAGGGGGTCCCTGGGGAGCAAGGACACTCCCAAGTCACTCAGCACGTGTTCACTGACAACTCCTGGGAGCCAGGCTGGGGACACGGATGGAACGTGTCATTGAGGGGGGCAGAGACAGACTGGGCACAGACATTACCCATCCTTTCTGAAGGGCCCAGAGAAGGGCTATCCTATAGGGAGATCAGGTAGGCCATCCTGGAGGAGGTGGCACCTGGCCAGACCTTGCAGGATAGGAGAGATTTCGCCATTATTATTGTGTTGCTGCAGTTGTTTGCCAGGCACCGGACAAAGGGCTTCCTCTCCCCTGCAAGCAATAAGGGGGAGGGGATCTGCAGAGAACTTAAAAACTGTGACAGAACCGACTAAAAATCCTTCCAAATTCTAAGCATCCCTGATAAAATACTCCTCCAGCTCTCCAGCCACGGGATACACGTGTCTGGTCAGAACCTGGCCTGTTCTCCTCGTCTCTGTCCTGTCACCTTTGATTCCTGGTGACGGACTGAGTCAGGAGGCCGCTGGGCCCAGTGGAGGAACACGCCCGGCCGTGGCCTGGGCCTCTCTGGTCCGGCTCCTCCGTGGACGGGGCAGGGCGCTGCTGACGGCAGTCCTCGGGGCCTCGCAGGGCCTTGTGAGGACTCGGGGGGGCCACCTGTGATGTAAGCAGTGTGGGCACGCACTGCGACGGCCACAGGGACATTCACAGCCACAGGGACCAGGACAGAAATGGATCAGGCCTCATCACGGGCCTGGTGACCGTGGAAACGCTGGTGGGAGGGAGGGGGACCTCTATCCCACCCTGGGGCCCGACCGAGCTCCTGGGCCCACACCCAGTGCTCCGATCCCAGCACAGGACAGAGACCCAGGGATGCCTCCATTCAGGGAGACCCCTGGATCAGGGCTTCAGCAGCCGTCTCCCCCTCCTGAACCGGAGCCCCACGTCCTTGCTGTCCCCCAGCACCTGGAGCAGCGCCTGGCACCCAGTAGGACTGCTGTCCGGGGCAGGGCCAGGGTGTAGGGAGCCCACAGGAACACAGCAGAACCATGGGGATAGTAAC